CCTAGTATTGATTCTTTCTCTTAAATTCATGTGTACTCTTTTTTTTTCTTATAAGAAACATATTTCTTTTTCTAACTGAAAAGTACACATGACATATAACATTGTTGTCATTTTTCCTGGAGTTCATCATTTTTCAGGACCTGTGGTCACATTCCAAGGTAGTTGATGTTTAAGAACTTTGTTTAAAATATTTTTTAGTAATGTCACTAAATGCCATCCTAATTTTTTCCTCATTAGAAGTCCAGTGAAGTTAATAAACTTTTATTTGTTATTTATATTTGAGACCAGATCTTCGGATGTTCAGGTGGATATTACCTAGAGTGAACAGAACTGTCATTTCATGGTTTTATGATCTAGCACCTATGTTTTCAGATTTGTCGTTAACTTCTTAGCATTTGTAATGAATTTCGCCTCTATATCTGAAATGAGTATTCCACCCATATTAAAAAATTGGATTATTTTCTGGGAAGATTAAAAGCAAGACTGTGCAATGTACAGAACAGTACTCCTCCTTTTTTTTTTTTTTTTTTTTTTTTTTTTAATGTGGAACTACTCTTATCTTTATTACTAAGGTCAAACACTTTGCTGTATAGAAAAATATTTCGTGACATTTCTTTGTAGACAAAATCAGAATATTACAGGCTTATCACACAACCCAAAGCTCCCTCTTTTAAGCAGGAGAAGCAGGGCTAGCTACGTAAAGCCCTCTCTTAGTAGGAAAATTAGGAGTTACTAAAATTGCTGTATAATTGATGTCAGAATAATACTTTAGAGTCATTTACATAACTCATGTAATATGGTTCTGTCTTGTAAATTGAGTGTCACTGAAATGCATAGCTCTGAAGCCATAGCCATGAAAGCCATTGGTTATGACCATGAATCTTGGCTCCCCTGACACCAACGATGCTGTTACTTTGCTCAAATTGCCTTTTAATTGGTGGTAATGTTCAACTATGCATAATGCTCAAATTCCAGCACAAAAGAATATTATCATATATTTGCCACCATTGGAAGTTTTCATTAAGGATTGTGTAATATGTCTATTCTTGTTTTCAGCCTCATAATATTTTAATAGGTGCCCGTGCTGCATTCTGGCAACTCTGCTGCTGAAAAATGTGCAGTATACCAGGCACAAGATGACAACGTGCATGGCCATCTGGAATGTGACTGAAGGCCTCAAGTTGTGCCAGGGGAGATTCAGGTTAGGTATGAGGAAAAATTTCTTCTCGGAAGGAGTAGTGAGGCAGTGACACAGGCTGCCCAGGGGGGTGGTGAAGTCAGCATCCCTACGGATGTTCAAGAACCATGAAGATGTGGCACTGTGGGACATGGTTTAGTGGGCATGGTGGGTGTGGGCTGACACTTGGACTTGATCTTAGTGGTCTCTTCCAACCTAAATGATTCTATGGCACACAAAAGAGAACTAGCAGAAAGACATCAATACTATGAGCAAAGACTATGGCTGGTAATTCATATTAGATGGTTCCTGCTGTCTTTATCAGCAACTTCAGACAAGTAGGTGACAGCAGAACCAGTGAGTTAAGGGTATACATTTCCTGAATTAGAATAAAGGAAGCCACACGTGGGGACTTTTGGGCCATACTCAGGAAGCTGAAGGCTTGGAGCAATTGCCCTAGCCTAGAATGAACCACACGCCTTCTTTCCCAGGATACAGAGATCTCTGTCTTCTAGTACACCTCTGAATAAAAGACATGGGCTAGTCTTTGCCTTCTCAGTAAATCAGGAACAAGAATGCTTGAAGGACTACACACACCAGCACTGAGCACTTGAGAAGATCCAGGCCAAAAGTGCCTCCCATATGTACAAGGCTGCTCTCCAACATGACAGCTCTAGGGCTTACTACTTCAGATCCCCCCCAAAATACAAAAAAGAAATAAAAAGATTTCAACAGTTACTTCTGCCTCCCAGACTACTCCAGATTACACTATTAATACACTCCAATAACACATTGTTTTCTGTTCTGGTGTTTGCCTTTATTCTTCTTAAGGAGATCTGTAGTCTATAGAATATTTATTTGTCATCATAAGAAAAGGTTTACTGAAATAAATATCAATTCCTGAGTCTCTGTACAGTTTGTCTGCTTAACACAGCTAATACAGAAATTTGGAACTTAATTTGCATTCGTCAAAATGCAAATGTATATGATTATGTTTGGCTGTATTATGTTGTTAATCTGCACTGAAGATGGCTGCATGCATATTATAACAAACTTTAATTCATTATGTACATGCATAAACTATATTAAGTCAATACATTGCCTAATTGTGTAGGCAGGAACTAATCTTCCCTGTTATTACACATGTTGCAATGGTTCTCTGACAGAAATAGCTTTTACTTTGAATCTTTCTGTAGTATGAGAGATTAACAAAGAACTACAATCCCATTAAAGACACCAATGCACTGGGATTAATTTTCTAAAGAAATATTTTGCCTTTAATTAGAAAAACATTATATTGACATTTAAATACATTATTCCATCTGAATATCAGAACACTGCTCTAGTTATTCATTTTCTCTGGCATCAGTCAAATCTGTACTCTTAGTAAATATCAATTCATTTTCAACAAAACACCAACTGTAGCAATTAGTGTCCAAAAGATAACGATATTCTATGCCTCAGGAGAAGCTGAGGCATATTATATTAATTTGTTTGTCTATCTCTACATAGGAACACTTGCCTTTAATTAAGTAGATAAGACAAGTTTTAATGAACTCTTCCTAAAATACAAAAGTTGTGATTTGGTTTTAATGAGAAGAATTGATGCTCAGTGCATCTTCAACAGTTATCTAATTCAAATGCTGCTGTAACTTTTCATTTTAGGTGACCATCATTATGTGATCTGCTTCTTTACCTGAAACTTGAGAGGAATTTAATCCCTGTATGGAAAGGGATCTAAGCTCCATATGTCAACTACGTCTCAAGCCTGAGATAATGAGCATACATAAATAAAGTGTTGGCATTCAGAGTTAGGTGGAATACAACCCTCAGAAAAGTCCATCAACCCTTGGATTAGCCCAGTTGTCTAAGGCACATTCTGATATTCTGGGATTTACCACTGTCTTCAGACAGACCAGCAAACTAAGTAAAGCATCATACGGGGAGATAACATTTTATCAAACTAGTGATGGAGAAAAAGACCGTTTCCCTGAAAGGGTCTGAGCAAAAATACAGCTTGTTTGTGCTGTAGTATCAGGAGAGAACGAAGCTTTACTTTTGAGACAAACAGAAGTTTATATCTCTTGGCAGGTCTGATCGCTTTGAAAGTGGAAACAGCAGCAGTGCCTCAGAGATGCCAGTTCTTTCCCACACCTCATAAATAACGCAGTATATTACGCAGTCTACAAGTGGCTCACCTTTTCAGGATGATTTTACCAGCAGGACTGCTGTTAAATCTGCTTGGTGTGCTGCTCTGAACCTTTCAGGACTTCAAGGTGCTTTCTGCCTTGCTAAATCCAGTGCTCCTACACAGATTACCATAGAGCTCTATGCTGACATTTTTTAAACATAAAGCCTGGTAGATATTGACCTTTTTAAACATTAAATTCCTGAGCAAAGAAAGCAACCAGATGTGGCATACAGTTCATTCACTTAAAAAAAAAAAAAAAAGGAGGTAGAAATAACAGTGTGCCAGAAAGGCTGTGAGTGCCCCATTCTTGGAGGTGGCCAAGACCAGATTGGATGGGATCTGGGGCAGTCTGATCAGGTGGGAGTTAACCCTGCCCACAGCAGGGCACCAGAGCTTGATGACCTTTAAGGTACCTTCCAACCCAAGCCAGTCCATGAATAAGAAAATAGCCAATATTTTATTTGTGCTTAGATGTTTGTTTTCACAGCTAGTTTACACTAGCTAAAATACATTTCAACTTAATAAAAAGAAAATCCATGAAAAATGTTTATGTTAAAAAAAATACCTTCCTTTGCATGTTTATTTATAATTTTACATTAAGTTTACTCATTACGTTTAGGAAAAAAAAGAACTTTTTGGAGACAAGCATGATGCAGGTTTCTGCAAAACTGGAACATATACATTTGTGCTTGTTTATTACATTTGGCTTTTTTCAACCTGCTTTAGTGTGGTAAAAGAAAATAGGTATAAGAACATGATAGCACAATTTGTCTGGTGTATCAGTCAAAATATATCATCTCTAAATAAAGAGCTAAAAATGAAGAAGCTTGCTAATGTAGAATGAATTTCCACTTTTTTTTTTTTTTTTCCAGCAAGTTTGAAGACAGCTTATGAAAAACAATACAAAAAAAAAAAAAAAAAAATCATAGAGTTCTAATTCATGGATAACATTTGCCAGCTGAAATCAGAAGCATTTTTGCTGTATTCAAAATGCAGCAAACTACTGAAACATTTTCTGCTTCTCTGTTTTGATTTGGTTAACTAAATAATTTAGTTCCATCTATTAAACATCAAACTCCTCTTTGAGCACTATAGCAATTGAAAATTTAAATCCTTCAAATTTACTTGGGTGTTCAGTTTTACTAAAACAAGGTACAATAGCTTAGACAAGTCAGTACACAACTTTTATCTTACACTTGCACATTATTGTTCCCTAGTAAAAACTGAGACAGCCCACACAAACTTTGAATTTTATCTGCAGAAATTAAAGAAAATGAAAAGTAATTTATGTTATGATTTGTTTAGAATTCAGCAGAATGTCTGAGTAAGCAAAAATAATGAGGGTATAGAGGAATTTATTTCCTCTATTTAATATATTGGCTGAACTCACATTAAATGTTACCACCATGACCATTATGAGCCTGTTTTTTTAAAAGAATATAATATATTCCTTTCCTGTTTTTTAACTGAATTAGATCATTTTAGCTTTGAAGATTCAAATAGAAATTCAAATTAGCTGTTAATAATTGGATCTGTCTGAGGAGTTAAACAGAGTCCAGGGTGAACCTCAAAACTACACCCATTACCCCATTAGTCCAAAACACTATAGAGGTTTTCACATGGGCTGCTATTTAATAGAAAACTCTGTAGACACATTGTCTCACAACAATTGTCTCACAATTTCTGCATTGTTGGAAGGGACTTGAAGATACATAGCTCTCTTCCCTGCTCCTACCAAGGACAAGGAATGCTGAGCAGGAGGACAACACCTGGACATCTATGTGCATTCGTGCAGTTGAGATTGAAAAGGATCCCCAAAAAATAAGTACTTCTCCTGGTACCATGTACAGTGAGCTAGGTCTGTTGCATGATCAGATCCAGCTGGCAGGCTGTTCACATTTCCAAATTTCTCCCATTTCAACTCCTTTTTGTAAGCTCTGAAGATACTGAAGCAACCACTGCATTAAAAAAAAAAAAAAAAAAAAAGTGGATGCATAGTTGAACAAGTAGGAAAATTAGAATAGGTCATTTTCTCAGTGTTCAGTGATCCCCAGTGGAGTTTCACACTATCCTTCATTGAGACTTCTGGTTACAGTCCCATAGAAATGCACTGAATGGCAAGGTGGCAAAATGGAACAAAATTAGCTATTCTAACTTCAAAAATAAAGCAATGGGTTTTATGTTGACCTTAAGCAAGAAGACAATTGTGGAGCTGTGAACACCCTGGGGATGTTTTAGAATAATGGAGATGTGACACTGAGCAACATGGCCAGTGGGAAGGATGAGGTGGGTTGAGGTTGGACTTGAGGACCTCAGAGGACTTTTTCAACCTTAATGATTCTATGATTTTGATAGGCCTTTTTGATTCCAGTGGTGCCAAACTTTACACAGGGTAATTCAAAGCACCCAAATGGCATGCCTAACCTTCAACTGTAACAAGTTTCTTCCTTGTTCAGGCAGAAGCAAACTCTATGCTGAATCCCCATCGCTTAGTTGCTCAGCTCACAAAGCATCATTTTAACAAAGCTCAGCCACACTTCAGAACACTTCAGTACCTCTGTGGCATGAAGGTCTGCATCTTAAACAAGTTTATACTATAAGCTGTGCACATACCTGAGCTACGAGACAAAATTCTAAGAGTACTTTTTTTCAACAAATATGATCCATCAGCCATTTCTGTACTTACTCTTCCAATCCCTCTTCCAAACCACGTAACATTGAGGTGCCCTGTGGAGCCCATAAGAGACAGAGACACCATCTGCTCTATTTCTGCCATTCTTCTAACATTTGAGAAGCTTTTGGAAATTTTACTGCAAATTAGATACATAAGGATAGCTTCCCTCACTGGAGAAATATCTGTGAATAAGGGTTTCTATTGGGCCAAGGAGCAAAAGCCTTTTAGCAAGGCACAACACAACCATTTAGGATTAAAAATGAGGAATATATTTTCAAACAGAAGTCAGTGAGGAATTTCTAAGCAGACAGAATGTAATTATCCGATTGAAATTAAGCCATGACACTGCAGCTTTCACCTCTACTTTTGAAAAAAAAATGCACCATGGGATCTGTTAAATGACTACAAGTGGTCAGGACCTCAGTTTTATATCTCATTCAGAAGCATGGTGGGAAGGGATGCCAGCTCAGCATTTATAAACCCCATTTGCTTTATACTCAGGTTGGGAAGATTTTTAAGCTTTCACTTTTTATTGCTTTCTTCTTAATAGTCAGAGAGAAAGAAAGTTTCCATAAAAAAGGATTGCAACTAGAAAGTAGATAAGCAATCTCTCTGCAATATAAAAATAGCATTGACAGAAAGAATGCAAAGATTCTGAAATATTTGTGTGCTGATACTACATTAAAAATACTTGAGGAATTGAAAAAGAAATAGGAAATTTTCTTCCACCTTCAGTCTGAGTATTATGAGATGTCTGCTCACATTTTATGTAAACATGTCCAGAATATAAATAGAAAGGATTTTCACCAGAGAAAAATAAAACTTGATTAAGCCATAAGGAGGAGTTGCAGGAAGGGATGCAGAAGCAACTGTGGATAAAAGCAGCTTTGTCACAGGATTCATTAGGCAATCCCTATATTAACTATTACAATGAAAGCATTACAGTATGGTTATCACAAGTTCAGCTCTAAAGATCTGGTACACCCAACAGTAACACCTAGAAAAACTCTAGGAAGTATCCTCAGAATTCCATTCTGTTGAACCCTTTTACAAAAAAATGTTTGTGACCAATATGCACAATATATATGTACAGACAAGAATCTAGCAGGAAAGGTATTATTCTTGTCTACTCTATTTTAAGGATCCTATAAAAACCCTTAAGTAAGCATTTTCTTGTTTGATCAGCAGTCAAAAAGCAGATCAAAGCTCTCTTCAATCTTCATCGCTTTGAGGAAATTTGGTATGGTAAGTTTGTTGGTGAAAGTATGAATTTGGATTTCCTCCTTTTTTTAATAGTTCAAACAGACTTAGTATGATCATAGCAGCCTTCCAGACTTGCTGACAAGGCAAAATCAGGAAGCGATGCACAGCAATGGGCTCCATTAATCTTCCACGTTACTCCATGCTTTATCCTTTGCTTCTGCTTCACTAATCCTTCTGTTCCCACAGGTGATGACTCAGCTGGGTTTGATTTCTTTTTAAAAATCTGTTTCCCTGTGACCAACCAAGCATCAGACTTTTATTCTGATCTTCATACACTGTACACAGGAAATTTCATCCCATTGTCAGCAGAAATAGCTACATGAACATCATAAATACACTTACATCAGCACTGCAGCTTGAATCAGAAGTGCGTATGGAAGCAAGTCTCTCACATTTACCCTCCTCCTTGGCTGTGAGTTTCTCCACAACTCAGTTTCAAAGCATGCAGATTGGATTTCTTTTGGAAGAAACTGAATTGGAAAGCGCACTCCCTTCATACCTTGCATGTCCCACCACCCATGGCTATCCCTTGAGTAGGACTAGAACAGGGCAAAATGAAAACAATCACAACACAGGTGAGCACTATTTGCTGCAAATCAGCTCCTTTTGATCCTGCCTACTTGCTGATACACACACAGATGACACAAACCTGACATAAGGGGAGCAGTGGAGTGGTCTGTGACTCATCATGGTTGCTCCTCAGCACATTCCAGCCCTTGTGAGAGGGTGCTTTTACTGCACTTTAATGCTTGATATTACAGAATCGTGGAGGTTGGAAAAGACCACTGAGATTATCCAGTCCAACCCTAATCAATCCCCTCATGCCCAACAACCACACCCCCCAGTGCCACATCTCCACATTTCTGGAATTACCTCCAGGGATAGTGACTCCATCACCTCCCTGGGCAGCCTGTGCCATTGCATCACTGCTCTTCCTGAGACATCTTTCCTAATACACAAGCTGAAAAAACATTTCCTTTCTGAACAACCACCATTCAGCCCTTACATGAACAGTATTTCACTCCTAAATAGTTCAAGACATACCTTAAAGGAACTTCAGATATCATTTCCTCCTGTAACTCTAGTAGAGATCACATTTGTTGACTGATATTGTAACAAAACCACCTATAAATAGTTTAAGTTCTCAAAATGGTATTCATTTTAGTTTCTTTTCAGCCTGTACTCTTCTTCCTACTTCACGGGATGTTCACAAGAAGAAAAATGTTATCAAAATGCAATCACATACTTGCAAAGGAAATAGAGTGGAAACATGAGTGGGACACATGTGTAATGACTATTTGCTATGAAACTACGCTCTTTATGAGAAGCTGTGTGTGTATTCATGCATTCACAAGTGCATGTTTTGGAAAAATTACTCTCTTAAACAAGTTAACATCTCCTCCAGAACACCCTCTAGCATTATTTTTAATAGCTATCTACCTTGGAAAGAAATGTTTTTCAGTGTTTATGCTTATGTTTTTCCTATTCCAGCAAAGGATAAGTTCGAATTGTTTCCAGAGACTGTGAATCCAAAGGAAGGTTGCTCAAAGAAAAAATTAAAACGGATCAATTAGATCTACCTCTTTTATGCAGACAAATAGAATTACCATTATTCTCCCCTTATTCTCACTCTTTCCAAAATGATTTTGGTTATGTTACTAACAAAGACTAGTGCTCATCCCTTTTCACATTACAACTGCACCAATCTATTCTATGTAAACTACATAACTGTGGTCTAGCATCCACAGCAGGTCTGTTGTCAGGGCACCACTGCCCACGCTCTGATTTTTTCAATAGTAGGGTAAAATCATCTCTAATTTTAGTTTACTCTGAGCACCCAGTTTCTAGAGGAATATGAGAATTTGAGGTGTGCAGATTTGAAAACCGGAATCAGTAAATTATACTATTTTAAGAAGACAGACCTAGCTGATGCATTATAAGCATCTACTATGAGAGAAGAAGGAATTTATTTTTTGTTATTTTATATTTTATTATTGAATCAAGAAAGACAAAGTTCACTGAAACCTTTATTAATATATAAAATGAAGCAAATTTTAAAAGCAAAGTATTACTCTCTATATCAATAGTAGAAAAGCCACCTACCCAATATATTAGTTCCAGAAGAATTGAAGCTGCCTGGCGTATCAATATCATCTCCTCAAGCATGCTCCATCCTTGTCCAGCTCTCCTCTACATCCACCAGTGTTGCTCATTTTGGCAGCTGCCCAGCTTTGCCTTAGCCAACCAGTTAAGAACTTGGAAGCCTTTCAGAAAGGAAGATACTTGGATCACACACCTGATGTATGCTGCATATATTTCATAGTCAAACACTTCCATATTTCGAGATGCTGACACTCTCTTAATAACAACACCTGGACTGTTTAATTCTTCTAAAGATAATTATGTCTCAGGACAAAGAGCATTGCCTTACATTTGCCTCATAAAATGTCACTTTACATTGCTGCCTGGCTACTCTCTCCACAATGTTCAGGCATAGTGCTATTTCTTCCCTTTAAATGTACTAATTACTTCCCGCTGTAATTACAGTACACTAGCTTAAAGGTTTCATCATTACTTCTGATAGATTAACGTGCTGTTTTAAGAGCACTTCAGAGCCCTTTTACTTCAAATCTCCATCATTAATCAGGCCAAAGTTTCCATTTAAAATGGAAATTTAATATTTAATTTAATATTTATATTCCTGGTAACAGCATATGTACTTATGGGCACCTATGTTCATAAACAATACAGAAAATATGGGTAAACCTGTGCACACTGAGTGCATAATCCATCTTTCTTCTATATGGGAACTGCTAGATGCTTGATGAACCTTTAGTTGACAGCAGAGTGGTTCAGTATACAAGTGGAGAAAGAGTTTATGCACAAGAAGGTAAAAAAAAATGGTTGCATCAACTGTCAATTTACTTCAACAAACATTCCCAACAGCTTCTGAGGACCTATTCACAAAATAGTGAACAAGTCCACAAAATAGTGAAAAGTCCACAAAAGATGCAGCAAATACAACTCTAAAAAACTGAAATCTAGCATTGCACATATTTTTTAACAAGGGAAAAAAGCCAAGAACCCAGACACAGAAAATATAGCGATAAAGCCTCACAAATTAACAATCAATTTCATTATATATGGAAGTAGAGCCTTGTCTAGAAAAGACATTTCAGCTGAATTCTTTGTCCTTTCAGGGCAGGTTGGTATGGATATCAAAGCACTTTCTGAACACTGTCACTACTCCAGTACAGAAACATTGGTGTTGAACTGAAATAGCTCTGTGATGTGACCCACCAGAACAGCTTTCTGTTAAAAATAATATCTGGATGGTGTTAAGGTGTGCTCTGGGAACTTTAAATAGAACTGGCAGTCATATAGGTCAACCATCAAGTGGCGATTGATTTCCTTCTAACCCACTCATGTGGAACTGGAAATTAAAAAGTAAACATAAGAAAAAAAGTAACTTTCATGTTACCTTTCTGCAAATAACTGAAATATCATTTGTTTTTTCATCCCTATTCATCCCTATTTACGCAGAGATCCTTCGCATTCAAATGCAATGTTGATGTATGTTTCGTATACAGATGGACTTGGCTAGATTAAGACTATTAAGCTGTAGGAGATGGAGTTACAGCAACATGAGGTCATCTGAGTGTTGGTACATGTATCCTCTGGGGAATCTCTTACTGCTACAGTTTTTTTTCTGTGGATGAATATATTTCACTTGCCTTGCTTTTCCTTGCTGCCCTCTCATCCATAAGCTCTTTCTTTTTGGCTTTGCTTGTGGCTCATTGCCTTGACTTTGAGACAGTCAAGGAACCTTGGAGGGATGATGAGATCTAAGCAGTCAGAAGAGCCAAGTCTAAAGAAATGAAATCCCTTCCTAGAGCTGATAAATGAGTTCAGCAGTCACTAAATATATCAGAAAACATATCTGGCCCAAGAAGGTCTGGGAGCTGAAACCAGATGGCTGCTGGAAGACAACTGAAGAAACCTCCTTCCTCTGTGCTCCCTGTATTCTTTGGGAATCCCTCAGCCTTTGGAGTAAGAGGCACCTCTGGTGTTACAAAGAATTATGCCCAACTCTGCTCTATGTTCTCAGCCTTTCACATAGAACCATGCACAAGCAACCCAACAACCCAATTAAAATGCAACTGAACAGTCACAATAAAACATTATGCACATCTCTCTGTTCAAAGCCATTTATAACTATACAGCACTCCATATATTTCAAGGCAGTAAGGAAATCAATATTATGTTACAATGGTTACTGCTAATGACAGTTTACAATTAAGATGTTTAATGCACGCTTTCCTTCAAAGTCTTACACTTTAAAAGAAGCCACAAGAGGAGTCATCTGCAGTTTAGAAGGGGCTAATTTAAAAGAGGAATTAAAAGACCACTTACTGATGATGTGAGAGAATAGTAAGTACCATGAGATTTAACAGTGGTATTACTGCTCCAATCCCTGGTGCTCAAAGCAGTAATCCATGAGTTTGAAAATCCAAATGCTTGACTGACACTTTGAAAGCTTGAGTGGACTATAAAGCACAATTGATAAAACACATAATTAGACAATTGCTTTATAAGCAATTTCCTTAATGAATATGAAGATTTGCAAAACTACCAGACATTATTGATTGTTCTTTCCTTAGAATGGAAAAATATAAAGAAAGAAATGGAAGTGCTTCTCATTCTTATCACACATTGCCCTATCAGTGTATACAAATAATTTTTATTTCAGATGAGATAACTTAAAACCATGATAAGTTTTTATCCCATGAAGATGCCTTTCTTATTCCTTTACTGGTTTACACTTGCTTAATAATATATCCTCTATATTTCTCAGCCTTCTTGCTATATAGCCATACCAGAAAGCTATACTTGAGTTGGTGCTAGCATGAAAAATCCTGTCCTGAAACAAAAGGAATAGGGTTTGGAATGGAAAACTATCTCCCTTCCAGGAAGAAAAAGCATTATCTGTTCTGCCAAGCCCAGAGCAGACGCCTTCAAACCAAAGCAATGAAGTTCAGTGGCTGCATTTTTTAACTGATACTACTGTCATAATAATTATGCAAATAGGCTCACAAAAGTTAACAGATATGTTTTAATAGCCCATGACAATTACTCCTCATGTATCTGACATCCTCATGTAACTAACAGAGGTGTCAGGAAATTGCCTTCACTATAAAGCGCTTTGCTAAGAAGAATTGCAGCGTACAATCACTTTTCTTTCCCTCATTTTGATAAATCCTATGTGTGTAAATCTACTGGCTATCAAATTGTAGATGCAACAGGTTGAGAAACTCTCCTGTGTTCAGACAGAGGATGGGAGTATATATGGCCAAAAACATGGCCAAAATTGTGCATACAGTCCTTCCTAAATAGATATCATTCTCCCCACCAGACAGCATTAGAGATTATAATTCCAATAATTGTGCGCATAGTGAAGGGGCATGGACAGCCCTGGGAGCACAGGTGCAAGCAGTTCACGTGTGACCAGAAGAGGCTGGACCCTTGTCTAGCCCTTCCTAAATTCATTTAAGGGCTGGTAGCCAAGAAGGAAATGTCTCTTCTTGGAGATTACTTCCTTCTGGGAGTTTTCTAGTGAGACCTTATCTTCAGAATGGAGTAAGCTACTCCTTTCCTATTACTGTCTTATGAATAATATCTTTCTGGGGTATCCTATAACAAGTCAGAGGTGACTGCATACAGCTATTCATTCTATAAGCCTACTGACTATGTCCCTCAGTATCATATCTTCACAGTTCTGGGACACCCCCATCTCTCTGGGCAGCCTTTGCCAGTAGCCCACTACTCTTTCAGAGAAGAAATTTCTCCTAATATCCAACCTCAACCTCCCCTGGCACAGCTTGAGGCCATCACCTCTCATCCTATCACTGTCATGTAGGAGAAGATGCTAATCACAACTTAAGGAAACTGTCATGGCTTAGAAAATGTTTCACTCTGATAGACTTCTCTTCCAGAAATACACAGAAAACTTTTGACTCTGTCAGACAACAGAATCAACTGGATTATCTCTGTTCTATTCCTTAAGTAAAACAAAGATTACAAATTCTAAGTCACGAGCATCAACAGGTTATCATCATAAAATGTGTAAAGGAGAAATAGAAGGAAAAGAGTGAAACCAGACAAGTTCCCTTTAATCCTCAAATGCCAATGAATTCACAGTATATATTTCAGATTAAAATAGCATACACACTGTTTTCATTTAGGAATTGCATTACATGCATTGTACGAAGCAAAGACCGACATGTATCTCTAAAAGCTTCTGAGCTGGTGGTAGTGCTTCAAATCTCAGCAGACTGAATAATATCTATTAAACTATTTTTTTTAATAGATACTGTTATATTTTTATTTATTTATATGTGGTGGCTCCTCTTCTCCTAAGAGAAGGAATTAAAGGCCCAAGTTCCTGAATTTAATACAACACTTTTCCAGTGGGAGAGGGAGATCCAATTCATCCAGTTCAGCAAATTGCTTCAGCAATTTTTTTTTTTTTTTTTTTTTTTTTTTTTCATCTGTTGATCATGACCTCACTTTAGGGTCGTTACCTTTTTAATTAAGCCCTTTGGTTTTCATGGTTGAGATTTTTAATCAATTACTTCAAATCATGTCTTATCCAGGACTAAAATACAGCCAATAAAAAGGTACTGGTTTATTTATCTTCTTTACCAAGTCATTGGTGCTCTGTCTAGTGAGATTCTTGATGATATTTCATACTGCCTGAATATTTTTAAAAGACTCTGTATTTATAAATAATGGGCACATGCAGAATTATTCTTTTTCCATGATGGGTTCACTACCTTTGCATGTTTTCACACTTACAGCCAATAGATATTTACATAAAGATTACACCCTGGACTCTTATTTTGAGAGTGTACTCAAAAGAAGGAAGAAAGCTTTCTTATTTCTGTTCCCCAAGAAAATCCCATTCTTCCCAATGCAGGGACAACATAGAGCAAAGCTGCCCACTCCATGGTTCACTTCTGGCTCAAAAGGAGTCAGGGGGCTGCTGCAATGCACAGCGCTTCCATGGGCTGTCATGCTTTCACAACCTGAGAACAGCACTCTACTCCTTCTCAGGGAAAGCCTATTGTCACTCCATGTGTTGGCATGGGTGGTCTTACTATCATGCAGGAAATACACTCCTTGCCAGTTAGCTGTCTCTCAGCACAAGCTGGGGCTTGGTGTCACAGCCTGCTTGCACTCTGCAGCTTGTGAAGCTTTTTTTCCTCCTCAAGCAGTTTGCCTTAAACTTATCAATTTATACAAATAGTCCTAAAGCCTTAAAATAGATATTTCCAGTCATTGTAAGCCAGCATTGTTTGCTGCAATTAGAGATGTTGCATATACAAGATCGGAATTTCAAGGTGAGAAAGAGCAGGTTATGGACCTTAATTCTCTAAGGGGGTTGCAAGTTAAAGAGAAAACAGAAAGCAGTACAAACCTTGTGAGAATTCAGGAAGACCAGGCTGGGAAGGCAACGTTTGTGGTATTAATTGAGGGTGCACTGAAGTGGTTTTAATGCACACCTTATCCTTCCCAGCCAGGCTGCGCAACAAACAAATCACAGGGAAAGGAATTATTTTCCCTTTTCTCCTCTCTACATTGTTTTTTTTTTCTTGGAGATGCTGTGTGAGAGGTGAAGGTTGTCCAAGCCTACAGCAATTCTGCTAGCAAACTTCCCTGCCCAAACCAACCCCTGGCTTATTCAGCCCAATGAGTGCTTGAACACGTAGCAGCAGTTGAAGAGATGTCTGCAAGTGAGGGTGCAGATATCCCACTTGCATATCTTAGCTAAGAGACATGGAAACAAGAAGCATCCTCAAATGGTGTCAGCCCCTGCAATTCAGCCAGGAAAAAATAAAGTAAGTAATTGTTCCTTATGAATTCCAGGTAAACTGAAGGTAAGGCTTCTGTCTCACTGCAATTTATAGGAGGGAGAAGAGGTTCTTTTAATATCTGTATACCCAGTGTGAGATTAAGAAACAATCAAATGTTGGTCTGACCAATCTTAATTAGGGAGATGGGGAAGGGGAGGATGGACACTATTATGAATTAGGGTAATGGGGAAGGGAAGGACAGCAATAGAAAAGGTAGGAAAGAAACAGCAAGGAGTCTTTATAGGAAGCAAGAGATAGTCACCACCATGGATCCAGCACGGCTCATAGTTCAGTCCTTGATCTTCCATAGTGGTGGGTCATCGGGCAATGTTGTTCTGTTGACATCAACAGAAATGGTGACCATGGTGATGATAGCCCCTTCTCAATGCCTTCAAAGTGGTCGAGTCTGCTGTCTTTAGAGTGACAGCTCAAATCCAAAGCGGTTGAGTCAGCTCTCCTTGGAGTGGCAGCTTCTGGCTCTGGGATCTCAGCAGAAACTCCTTTGTTCCTATCTTCCAGGCCTTGTCAGCAGATAAGAGGGAGCAGGGATGCCAATCTGCATCCTGTTTTTCACAGGACGATGGTATCATTCCCCAGTTTTCCCATACCAAGCTGCAGCTATTTAGTCACAGGCCAGATCTTCCACCAGTAAACACCCTTGAGCACTCTCTTCTGGAGACAAGCAGCTCTGGAGGAAAGGGCTTTCAAATGTTCTCAAAGTGATGAGAATTGTCACACAGTAGCACCCATGACTTGCCTCCTAGACAAGTCAGTCTTATCACAAGAAATACCTCAGGAAGCAAACTTTGAGCCAGAAAGCAAAGAAGGATTCTCACTCTTCTCTTGAAAATGCATTTCCTACCTGAATTATGTACATGTTCTGCACATCTACATTGCCGAATGCTTGGTTGGGAAAAAATAATTCTGGATAAAATTAATTCTGCTGCTTCTGGGGCACAGCATAGCACTGCCACAGTGCTCACAGAGGTGTATTAGCGTGCATTTCAGAAAACCTGGCCAAACTGGCAGCAGTGCATCAGGCTGGAGGAGGCTTTCCAGTGAGTGCTTGTCATGGCACACCTGCAGTCCTTTCCCATGAGCAGCTGTTAATCTCAGCATCAGCAGTAGCTGATCTTGTAGTGTTCAGTAACATGAACCTGATCCAGTGGTGGATTTCAATCAAGGTCTGTAGAAGTTTAAGCGGCATTTGATTATGACCAGAGGGTTTGATTTTTTTGTTTTTCCTTTAACAGCTCCTTATAAAATTCATTGGTTAAACCAGCCTTTATGCCTGGGGACTCATCATTCTCCTCCAGAACTCCTTTTCCTCCACTATCTTCTGGGAGTCATTTTCATCCCAAGACCACTGAATTGCCTCTGGCTTGGAAGTAAGACTTAGTATAAAGACAAAATGAGACTTGTGTCTCACTCCTGTAAAAGATCGTTCTTTGGAAGGCAGAGAGAGAACTGGGAATCACAGCTGCTCTGAGCAGTCCTTGGCTTTATTGGGGGACATGCTGTCACCTTCCACTGAAACATCAAAATCACATCTGCTATCTGACAGCACCCTGAAAGATGTCTGCAATGTGAAATAGCTATAAAAGCCATTAAGGTGTCTTTTTTTTTTTTTTAAATGAGAAGCAATAAAAATCCATGTGCTGACAAATAAAAATGCACATAAATATCACAGAATTCAAAGCACAATCTTATGCCTATGCAGTCTGGGCAAGGACAGCGTGAAGCCAGCATCCCGATCTTCTCTCACCACAACTCCAAATCCACATTTCCTCCTTCCTATGGGTCCTGAGGCTGTCAGCAGCTGAAGGAACAGTCCAGCCTCCCTTCCTGCAGAACACTTCACCTCCAGCAGTGAAGAAATGATTACTGACAAGACATTCCAAGGGAATTTAACAACCGCGCTTTTTTTTTTTTTTTGATGCTATTCAGTCCTGTCTTTCATGCTTTTAGACTACAAACACTACAAAAATTAGAGTCACATCTCAAAGATTTTGCTTCCTATGCTTTTACTAAGACTTCTTTCTGGTACCTAAGACATTTATTTTGCTATCCCAAATATTTTGCCAGGGTTTACATTACGGCCTAGCATGCAAATCACATTCATTACTTATGTTTTTCAAGCCTTGTAGTTTATTGCACATCTTCATATTCATGATTGTAAATGCATTAGTGAACAGTAGCTTACATTCTTCCAGTTAATGGGCTTCATAATGCAGAACTATGAAGGTCACACTGACCTACCAAAAACTTCAGTTTAATTTAAAAGCTTTGTTGTCAGTCAGAGGGAAAACATCACAGCAGCATAAGATCCTACAGCTCAAGGTTCAATTAAAACACCATAAAAGCAAGACCCTTAAGGAAGAAAATACATGTACAAAACCAGAAAATAATGAGAAAGTGTATGACCTTTTTTTTTTTGATGTTTTTTTTTTTGTTTGTTTGTTTGTTTTTTAAGTGCTGGTTTTAAACCAGGATTTTGATCCTGGAGAGAGCTGATCTAATGTATTTTTCCTGTCTTTATTTTCTTATGGTGCACAGTGGAAAACTGGAACAAACATGCATAACAGCTTTATGTAAATGTTTTGTGGCTCGTTGTCTGAAGAAATAGCATATATCATGTTCTTCTTAAAAGAAGCATGATGCAAAATGCCATGTACCTTCCCCCCCCACTGTTCAGATTGTGAACAAAAATGATGAAGAAAGTAGAGGTAATATATATCTTCATAAAGTAAATAAAGCTTAAATTCAGGCTCAGAGGGAAAAAGCATTTTGTTCTAATCAGCATCTTCAAGGACAAGGCTACTTTTTCAGCAGTTGAATTAATACAGACCATTGCACCAAACTGCAGCATAGCTGGGGCAGATGTGTTGTTCTCTTGGTTCTCCTGTTGGTCCTGGCACCAAGCAAAATTATCTTCTGCTTTCTTGGTTTCACAGCGTGCAAGATAACCAAGACAGTTTTAAAGGAAAAAAATGCATTTTGAGTAGTTTGCTTGAGGTGTGTATTTAACTGGTGGATGAGGGGAGGACATGTTTTCATGGTGTGCCCAACAGTCCATTCAGGAAAATGGCACTGATAAAATGGTACCACCATTCTGCAGCTTGGAAAGTCACGTATCTGCTTTTGTGCAAGATGTCAGAATTCAAATCAAAAAATTAATAATGCAATATTAATAACCCCCTTTCCCTTCTTCTAAGAGATGAGCAGATCAAATCAGAGAGGCCCTGATCTCACAGCCCACTCAAGTCTCTGACACTGCCTTCACAGCTTTCTGAAAGATAACCCTGAAGCCTTCTGACATCCTCTACATGTAAACCACTGTTATCCAAACAGAGAGCATTTCCTTGTTATCCTGCTGCATACAGGACTTCTTGCATCTCAGCATTAACAATTGAGACAAGTGAAGCCTTGGCAAGGAGACCAAGACTCACACCAGCACACGGATAGGCAAATTACCACTGCTCAGTCATGCCCCAATGTCACTTTCCCCTCCCTGATAATGGTTTGAGTGTTTCACTCCTTCAGTTCAGAAACAAAATTATTAAATACAAGTTTTAGATATCTAAAAAAACCACAAGTCTTACTCCAAGCAATGCTTCAACCCATAAGAGAATCATAAAATCATTAAGGCTGCAAAAAGACTTCTGCAATCACCAAGTCCAACAGTCAGCACATCATCACCATGAAACCATGAGCATTTCCTTGTCCTACAGAGCTCATATGTTAAAGAATTTATAAGCCACAACAGTGAGAAATACCAAATTTTGAAGTAAATCAGAATAAATATGTCCTAATTTCTGTGACCCCAGGAGTTTCTGTTTCAAAAGTTTAAAAAAAAGACAATAGACAGTAAGTGAATATAAACAAGCAAGTGGGGGAACAAGGACAGGAGAATAAAATATTTTAACCAGAAGTGCTCACTGTTGTCACAAAAATCTCTTCAGAGTGACAGCCTTTGTAAAATAAGTGTATTTGTACCTTGACAGTTTCAATATAATTCTACATAAAAGAGAATGGGAAAGCTTTATTTTTCTCCTTCCTGCTGTCTAAAGGCTGTTTGTAACTAGTCACCAAGTATAACCCTAAGAGAAGCCATTAGACCCCATGAGGACTCACATAGGTATAGAGAAGTCATGAAACTGCATAATTTACCTCCAATCAAAGCTTTCTGGCCGGACTCCTGGAAATAGATTTAGCACCACAAAAGGATTTTAGCACATCTTGAAAACATGTAATTTATTTTGGTTTCCTTAGATAAGGATATAATTCTAGAGCAGTTCACTAAATGGAGAAACAAGCTAAGCATAACACTAATAACTCATGTTCAGATTTGCAGAATCCAGAGTGGCACAACATAAAAATGCAAATTGGAAAAAGTAAAAATCCACAGTGTTTTCCCTAATGGGACTCAGTGCTCACATATGTAGACAGATACACCCCAGGAAATCTACCATCTTGACTTCATCACACCTGACGCATTAGCACCTGACTACTCTCCAATTCAAACAAGATTCCAGAGGAGACAAAGTCTTCCCAAAACAATGAAGAACTCATCCATTGAAGTACAGCTATGATCTCCAAGGATGCCAAGCCCTCCAAACATCATTCTGATGTATAACATCCCCAAAATACCATCAAGGAGCTCTAAGTGCTTTGATGGATTCACAGTAATTTTGGACATTTCATTTTTATTTTTTACTTCCTGAAGTGAGTGGTAATTTTCCATGCATAAGTTTCTAAGCTGATCAAAATCTTTTGCATGAAAAATTGAAAAGAATATATAACTTTAAATGAGAGACATACCATTTATTATTGATGACATCTGGAAGACTGACAGAATCACAGAAGCACCAAGGTTGGAAATGGCCTCTCCAAGGTCATCCAGTTCAACTGTCCACCTCCCAGTATTTTCCCCCTAAACCCTTAGTACCACATCTAATATTTTCTTGAACTAAACATCTTGTACATTTATCCACTAATAACAATTACTCCTCACAATACATAACAGAAAAGTTTGCAATGATTTTAATCTCTTTCAAAGAACAGGAAGCCAAGCACATCAGTAGGAACCATTGATTTCAGCAATTAATACATGGATTTGCACCTCTAGTGTTGCACATCTTAGCTAGTTAATACCAGAATTCTTTTTTACACAAAATTCAAAATGTTTTTACAAAGCTATTGACAAAGTCCCCACAATTTCAAGGATCAAATCCAGACAGCAGAGTCAAATTTTCAGAAGAATAGATACAATGCCTCCAATTTTAAAAATACACTAACAAAATTTATCTCCCCATTTTTTTTCCCCTTACCTTGCT